AGGACGCTACTAGGGGCTCCTGGCCTTACTACTAGGAGCAAGGGCGCCACTAGGGGCTCCCGGCATCGCTCTAGGAGCAAGGACGCTACTAGGGGCTCCTGGCCTTACTACTAGGAGCAAGGCCGCTAATTGTAGCCCTTGTGTATGACGAGGCTCTTGGATCCCTTCCCTTGGATTCTATTTTCTTCTTCACTCCCGCTTAGCCTGGCAAATCTTGTACCTTCAAGAAGATATACCAATCTTGTGCGATGTTTCCTCCTGCTAGGTGGAGCACCCCAAATTTGAATGGGGCGCTGCAGCTTGGATTGAAAAGGACAAACTGCGTCTTTAATAACTTGAAGTCACAGCTGTTGCAAGCAGCATATTCCTCTTTAGAGGACAGATGAGCAGCAAGTGTTGAGGAGTGCCACATGTCTTTCCAGCTAAGGTGTCCCACGAAAGTGTAGGTGCCGCACCCAGTGATGGACACCTTCCAGTTGCAGCCTTTCGTAGGACTCGTGTTAGCCTGATGTGATGCAGTTGGATGCTCCAAACACCTCTTCACCTAGCCTCCCCAGGTGTTGTTGTCAAGGAAGAGGACACGCAAGCCTGGGTTAGCTTCGCTGAGCAATCTAGTTGGCATTGTCAGAAGGAAGCTTTGCTCAAACATGGCCAAATTATCCAAATAGTATTGTGAAATGCAATGCAGCACTGTGGCTGGTTTCAAGATTAGTAGCTGTCGGCTGACTGAGGATGAGCTAGAGATTGATCCTGACACTTGGCTGCAGAATGAGGATGCGGCCTGCTACGTCTACTTGGCCTGACTGACAATACGTTTACGCCAAATTGTGATGCTTCCAGTGACGTCCTGCCTTCGTAGATTGGCCATGCTAGTATTCTTGGTGATTTTTGTTCCAAGGTTGGAGATATGGTGCGCCCCAATGTTCGAGTGAGAGTTCGTCAGGATCCCTAGTTCATTGAACTGGAGACGAAATGCATTCTTTGCCCGAAACCCTGTTTCGTTTCATGAATTAATTGGATGTCATGATAACACTGTAATCGACACATAGTTTGCCTGGCACTTGGTGCGGTTGTCGCACTAGTTTGAAGGCTATAGAAGGCTCTTTGCTCGCCATGTCAAGGGCTCAACTAGGACGACAGCCAAATTCTGAGGCGCTGGTGTCACACCGAAGCGCGGCTGGGGTCTCCTGCAGGTGGATGGTGTTGCCACAGTGGTCGCCATCAATGGTTGCCAAGCACGGCTGCTAATCAAAGAAGGCGCGCCTAGATTGTCGAACTGCAGAATGGTCCTTTGAGCTTCTTTTTTGGTGGAGTCTGGGCATCGGGGGTTTGGCTAGGTGTGTGGAGTGGTTTCATCAATGAGCTTGAGGTGCAGCGAGTTGGGTTCACAAGCGACTGTTCCACTGCTTTGGACGAGAGAGACAGAGAGTGTGACAGATGTGGTTAAGAAACTTTTGAGCCTTTTCTTGAAGTTGTTTGGAGGCAGTGGATGAAAGCATAGATCCCATCGAAGATGCCATCCTTCGGTTGAAGAATGGTAAGGCCAGTGAGGAGACATTGGCACAGCAAGGGCCCCGGAGTCACGGTCATGAGTCTGTGGTGACCGGGACAAGTCATGGCGGTCATGGCCCCCGCCTTGAGGCTGCATGCTATGCTCAAGCAGCTTGCTGAGTGTGTGGAGCTCAAGAAACATGCCATGAGAGCTGTGGAAGCCATATGCAGGGAAGGATTTTGTCATCAATGCTTCTGGGAAGATCTATAGAGGATGAACCTATTGCTGTTTCAAGGCACCGATACATCAGAGTACCGCCTGATGTTGCAATGCAGGGACTTGAACTCAGCTTATGAACACATGTAGAATGTAGAACACAGTTGAACAAAGTACCCTTAGAGGCTCATGCTCAAAGAAAGCACGAAACACCGTCCAAAGTATCAAGTACCTTATATAAGCACGCCTCTTCCAGTACCATCCCCAGTACCTTCCCAAACTCCTTCCCTTGTTTCAGGAG